AGAAGCAGCAGTACCTCGGGCTTTCTGAAAATGTACTAACATTAGAAAGTAGAGAGACTTTTGAAGCCTGAAAACTGATGAGATGCAATTCACTTTCTAACCTGATGAAAGTGCCAAATGTATAATGAGGGGTGTTGGTTGTAGCTGTGTTGGTCTAAGGACACAGGCAGACACGGTTCTTTGGGTAAATCCGCTATCTTTTATTGGACCAACTCCAGGAAGAGCACAGGCCATCTGCAGACGCTTCCTCTGCCTCACAAAGGATAACTGTACCTGAAAGCTTGCAAAGAAGAATTTTTTCCAACGATTTGAGTTGGTCTAATAAAACATATAATTACACATTTACACAAAAGTGTTTTTGGGTAAATGCATGGACTTGGATAACACAAATGAGAATTTGAAAATGACCGTCCTTGAGATTTCAGCAGGTGAGGGCATCTTAATTTCAGAAGCCAGACTTGTTAATGTGTCATTAAAGGCAGACTCAACTTTGTTCTACTTGACCAGTTACAAGAGAAGATTTTATTATTTGTCAGATAACATGCAGTTATCCGGCAGTTTCGCTGGCATGACTGACAATGCCAAGTTATTCACATCCAGAAAACATGATTCATTTTTTCCAAGAAAATCAAATTAGCCTCTCTTCTTTCTTCTCTCTGACCTCTGCTATACTTAGCCAAGCTATTATCTTCCCCTGAAAGAGCATATTTGTTGAAAATATCTTAATGTTAGTGTAATGCTCTTATCTTAATAGAGTAAAAGTACTTAATTATAAAACACGTTGTAGGCTTTAGAAGTACATTTAGTTAGTTTTCTCTTCTTTGGATCAAATCTCCTAAAGAGAAACACTGTCAATGTTTATTATTAACATTTGCTGAAATGGATAAACAGAATAACTACATTATACATGGGTTTATATACATTTTCCACTTCTAGCTATTTGTATTCATCTTTCTCTTTTCAATCTCTTTCTTTTAAGGGTTATTTTTACTGCTAAATTGAAAGAGGATTACCTTGCAGAAGTCTGCCTCCTTTATAAAGATGAATGGCCAGGGCTGCTTCATACTTCTCTGCAGAGATTAAATTTGCTATTTCAGATGGGCCTTCATAACGAAAAGCATCTTTAAGAATGCATGTATGACCTGCGGCCTCTAGATGATCCCTTCATCACAAAAAGAAATAGAACAAGAGGAAGAGGATAATGTTAATACACTGCAGGCTTGCCATTATGTTGAACAGTTTAATCAAAATATCTCGCTTAATAACTTTCGCCTCGAGATTCACCTTCCTTAGAAAACCTGGCTTAGAAAATACTTCCCCATGTAAGATGCTTTCTGTGAACATCTGATCCCTATGCAACATAATAGCTGCATCCCGTATAAATGGTCTGCTCCTGCAAGGTACTGAGAGCCCCCACTTTTCTTGGACATCAATGGCAGTGGAAGAAGTTCTGCACCTTGCAGGACGGGGGTTTCTGAACCTGATCCACCTCCTAGTAAAGTCCATGGGAGTGCACTCTGCGCAGGTTCAGAATGTAAAACACCCGAAAAAAGACACATGAAAATGAAAAAACATACAAGAAGCATTCAATTAACTAATCCTGTTACAATAACCACGCATACCACTGTGCAAGAAAAATCTGCTTCAGGGGAAAAGGAGTCGAGATTCGAGTGGAAGACATAAAATTACAATCCATGGACACCTATTGACATGTTTGACTTTGGGCTTAATCTGTTCTCGCCTCAATTTGCCTATCTGTACAATAGGCTTAAATAAAAAGGATAATGATCTTCATCATGGTTTCATTTAATAAATCACTATTTAACAAATGTTTTCATGGACATAACCAAAAGTTAAAGCTGTCGAAATTAAAAATCAAAACAGAGTATTTATTGTTGCCTTTTTATACATGTTGCACAACAAAAAATAATGTTACATGGCTCTATCACGTTAAAATCCTGATCTAAAGACCATTAACAATTGGTAATAGGGCTGTTATCATTAGCCAGGGTGGGGAATGTTTTAAGAACTTGCATCTCTTAAACATATAATAAAATAACTTCAAATGTAAAGTGTTTATATTTCCAATATCATAAAAATAAGACTTCCTTTTTTGTGGTTATTATATATTGCTCCAGTTGGTTTATTTCTCATCAGTGTGTTAACTGTTCTGGTGTTAAAATCTGCTAATTCAATAGCTTCTTGAGTATAGTTCTTTTTCCTTTCCTGGTCATTTCATATCCTCCCAATGAATGTAATTATCTGTCCTGCAGAAGTTAGGCATCACTGCAGAAACGGCTGCTTAAAAAGCTGTAAAATGTCTTGAGGCCTTGGGGAAAGTGCATTAACATCGTATCAGAGAGCCTTATTGGCACAACATATGGTCCCATATCTCCTCCTCATTCTGAAAACAAACTCATTTTACTTTTGATTTCACAATTTGAAACACCACCAGTAAATTCCACCAAGTACTAATAAATAATAAAATGCAGCCAGATTGTGAGCCCTTTATTCTCATTGTTGAGAAATTACTCACATCAGCAGCCCCATGGATATGTGCAAGTATCTGATCACCATTTGTAAGAGGTTCACAATTTGATTCTAAATAGTAATAATAAGAAATAAACCCGAATCCCACAGCGGTAGAAGCATACTCTCTCAGGCAAGCATTCAGGATGCTCAGGCATTACATTCCAGAAGTTCGCAGGTGCTCATTAACTTGGCTAAAAGGTTTTTTTGTCTAAAAGACTTGTTTTTCCCTTCGGTACTCCAATTACCATAAATCGCTATCATGTACAAGCAATATGTTTGCATATTACAATTAATTTGAAAATAACTCCCTACCACTACACTCCAAGGAGATCAGAGCCCAGCAAACTAAGCTACGAATTTTGATCTGAAACTACCCTTTCCCCCCCCCACCCCCAACTACAAGGAAAAAATATAGTTCTCTTCCTCCACAGTTTCCATGTTCCAAATCTCATTGCAATTTTTGACCCTTTCCAAGAAATTAAAATTAAAAAAAAAAAAAAAATGTTCTCCAACTTTGCAGCAATTTTGCTCACTAAGGAACATAATCATAAAGATTGCTCTGTCCATGTTACTTTAGATTTGGATCTTCTCTATAGAACAGCCATGCATACTAAGCACAGCTAAAAAGTCTGGGGTTTTGCAAGCCTGAAATTAAAGAAATGTTTTTGCAAAAATCTTGTTGGTCTAATAAAAGATAACATCTATACTACGAGTCCCGACTGCACGTACAAATGGAACTTAATGGTGTTATCAAAAACCATAGGTTTAGTAGAGTTGGGGGAAAAAAACCCCCCAAACCGTATCTAAGCAAGACTGACCTATGTTTTACTTAAGCCGGGGCATTGAGGCTAGTTCCCTGACACAGTAGTTTTGTAGTATAGAAAGTGAAGATGTATTTTACTTGCCTCTCCCTTGTGTGCAGACCAGTGTGCGTGTCCTAAAGAGTGGCACGCTATTGAAACAGGATGAGAAATGTGGCAGAAAGAAAACTGCAGATCTTTGCTTTGAACCACTCTGATAGATAGCCAATGGACAATAATTTCTCCACTCCAGCTATAGCTGTTACAAATGGGGCTGGTGGGATCAATGGTAAAACCTGCTAACGAAGCTGTCTGTGCCAGAAACAAATCAAAGTGGAACAATGATAGTCTTGATGGCAAACGGGGCTGGAGATTTCCTTGAATAGTCCAGCGACAGATATACCGCCTTTAACTCCCTTAAGGTGGCAGAGCCTAAACTTGCAAAAGGTGAGGGCTGAGATGTGATGGTGATGCAGTGTTGTAAGGAAAAGAAAACAATTCTCAGTAATTTCTAAATGGGAAGAGGCCTGATGTCACAACTGCTTACGCACATGCATAAGAATGACTCATTACGTGCTTCCAGTTAAGCACATCCACAAATGTTTGTAGGATCAGGGCACTAAGTAATAATAATCTATTATTACTGGAATGTATAGAATGAAATGTATAGAATCTGGAATATGTAGAAATGAAATTTTCCTTTCCTGTGAAAGGATTTTTTTTTTTTTTATTTCCTGGAAGATAATTTCTTATATGCTTGCACAGATATGGCAGCTTCATGGCAGACAGACAGAGGATGTTTGAGCAGCTATTTTAGAAGATTTTTTTTGTGTGGTTGTTGTTAAAAGCTTTTCTGCCAGTGAGGTCACAAATGTCCCTGGATCAAGCCAGCACATAATAGATGCATTCCTGATATCTTTGTTTTCTCTTCTGATAGAAACTCAGAACTCCGATTATTTTGCTAGTGCACTAACCAACACTTTTGGAATGGAAAATAACATACATTTCCTGCTGTCTGTAAAGCTAATGCAATACTATGTTCAATTCAACAGGAAATACTGAGTTGTGAAGCTTTTTCATTACTTTTTTCTGCACTGTGTAGTTAACTTGTGGAATTCATGGCCGCAGGGTGTGGTGGAGGCGGATAACATGGCCAGATTCAAAAAGGAACTAGATAAATTCATGGATGACAGATCTATTAATGGCTATTGAACGGAGATGTTCTTCTAGCATCTCTAACCCAATAAATGGCAGGTGCCAGGGAGGTTGCTGAATAGGGGATAGATCACTGTAGAAATATCCTGTTGGATGCTCTCCCCGTATGGCATCCGCTTCTGCCGCTGTTGGAGACAGGATGCTCCAACTGGATAAACTGTTGATCTGACTCAGGATGCCGCTTCTTATGAAGTCATATTATCCACTATCTACAAGGATACATTTCATAGCAAAAACTTTCCCTAACATGACACTCATGACACACCGCCAGATTTTGCCTTGTTCAGCCATGCATATTACTCCAGCAGTGGCCCTGCAGAACTCAGGCTATTCTGTGGAGAGTGAAGTCCTACTTCCAAATCAGCATGCGACTATGAGAAGCTGACCCCTGCCTGCTTTACTAGGGAGAAATTAAGTGACAGTGGGTGATTCAAATTTCCAACTATGTCCAAATGAAACAGATAATTTGTTAAGGCGAGGTCTGATGGCTACTTGGAGACAAGTCATACTTGCATATTCCTAAATTAAATACCCTAATTGATTGAGAAAGAATGTGAACTCCCAGCTCACTGTATTAGAATTTGTTCTCTGTCTGTAGGCTTCAATTACTTTAACTTTCTATTATCTAATATTTTTTGGTACTGCGATGATGGATATTGGTTACTGAATTTGATCCTGAGAACCAGAAGCTCCTGTATCCTATCTCTGGCTAAGCCACTGACTCTGACCGAGCTGCTATATGGACCCAATCCTGCCCCCTGTGATGCCAGTGTAAGACCACGGTACATAGTACATCTCAAAATCAAGTTGTCTGCTTCTTCATCTCTGGATAAGGGAAAAATAACATCCGCTCACCACTCTCACCTAAGTGCATGAGCATTATTTACAGTGTGCTGGAAATGCAAAGCAAGGGAAGGGTTTAATATCGTAGCGCATAATAGATCTTCAGTGCATGTGTAAGGATATTGCTGATGTATAAAATTAAAAGGTGTAGTCCCTGCTGACCTTGTGTCCCCTGCCCTCACTTTAATCAAGGACTTACACAGGAAAGCAATTTTTGTCTAACACAGCTATGAAATACTGGATGATGTTTTATGATCCAGTTCGTATATTCCTCTCTACTATTATTGATTGCTGCTTCTGGTTTATCCTGGCTAGCAGTCTGAAAAATGCAACACCGTCCTTCTTCCCTGCTCCAGTTCCACCGTTCCTGGTTCTCCGTGCATAACCTAAGCTGTGTGCGCCAAACAAATTTGACTTGTAGCTCTACTGCCTGAGAATTAAAATGGTCTGCAGTTCTGACATGATGTAGTTTGCACACCACAAGGTTTATTCTCTACCATAATGCCACCGCTTTTCCTTCAAAAAAATCCCCCACCAAAACACACAAAAACCCTACGTTCTCATTTTAAATTGAAAAGCAAGAGGAAGGAATGATCATTGCCCAGGACGTTACTGGCAGATCCCTGCCACAATACGTGCAAAGCCAGTGTGTTGATTATTTCTCTTCCCTAAAACCTTCACCGATAGAACAGGCTCCCATGATATCCCGAACTGTGCGTTGGTCGTGGTGGAGCACGCAGGGTCTCATCCAAGGCTACTGGAAGTCAACATAAGTCAGAGGCAGACAAGGTTCTTTGGGTGAAGCCGATATCTTTTATTAGACCAACTTAAATAGTTGAGAAACAATTTTTAAGCAAGCTTTCAGGTTCAAAAACTCTTCGTCAGGCTAAGAAAGCTTGCTTAAAAATTGTTTCCCAACTATTTAAGTTGGTCTAACAAAAGATATCAGATTCACCCAAAGAACCCTGTCTGCCTACGTCCTTAGACCAACACGGCTACAACCTACACCCCTGTAACATAAGTCACAGGTATTTAAACCACAATTCGGAAGTTACTTAACAATGAAAAAGTTCTATCCCCTTTGGTCTTGGTGGTGCAAACTGCTTTTTTCCAATTAACCTTTTAACCAATAGTTTATAAAAAGAATGGCTCGGGTGTACCCAAACACCATCAGCCAGGCATTTCTTTTCCATATCTATAAAAAAAAGCCTATATATCTTTAATTTTTCTCTGCCTCAGATTCCTCCTTCCAAACAAAATGGTTGGGATGGATGTATTGTTAACACATGATGATTTGTCCTTTTTTGAAAGGAGTTTGCACCAAGAGCTGCACGGCATTGCTGCACATCAGGCCCATCATGGACAGCGGTGTAAACAGCAAAAGTGCACTCACCAGACAGTCACACTGCCTCCATGTCCTGAAGGTAAAAGGGTTCCCTCTAGGAAAATAGTTTCATAGTGGTCAGGTCGGAAGGGACCTGAGCAGATCGTCACGT